TTTCCCTTCTTTGACTTCACTCTTTCCATTTCTGGTCTTGGGTGCTACACTACAGATCCACCGACTCCTGCAATTACCTTGATTGCACTTCCTCTCACACTGCTTCTTGCAAAGGCTGCATTCCATTCTCCCAGTTACTGTTTCTGTCACACCTACTTTGCACCTTAGTGTGTCTTTTGCTATTATTTAACATTCTCATTGTCTTTTCCTCTGGGCACCCTCACCATCTATTCTGCTCACTCCTCCTCCCCTTTTGTCAACTGCATAGAAAATGTTATTTTCCAGGTGCTTTGAGTTCCAGAGTAGAGTAGTTTGACACAAAATGTTAACTGTTTCTCTCTGCAACTGCTGCCCGAGCTAGTGATTTTCTGCAGCGTTTTCTGCTTTTATTTCTAGTGTCTCCAGGCCCAATTCATCAGCAGTTTGCACCCCACCCAACTGCTACCCTACATCCACATGCTCCACACCCACAACCATCTGCAACCCCAACTGGACAGCAACAAGGACAGCACGGTGGCAGTCATCCAGCACAGAGCCCAGTCCAGGTAAGGAAGTCCGACTGCCCCCATTTAACTTGCTTCTGGATATGGTTTATAAAATAATGTGGATGAGACGGACATTCTAAGTTGGAATTAATTATGATACATTGAAATCCAAAATCCTTAAAATGTTAAAAGAAAAATTTTCCCCAATTGTAGTGACCTTGATGGGCTCAGTTGAAATTTCATGTGTAACTCTTGGCAGCCTGTTCAACAGGAAAAGCATTCTCCAATTTTGCTGGTTGAATCATGAATTTGGCCACTCTGGCTTATGGTGACATTTGAAAAGTTATTTTAAAAGCCAGTCAAAACTTCAGAGCTGCCTTTTTTTAGAAGCTTAATATCAGGAGGAAAGATATTTTGTTTCATATTGGAGATTGCAGCATTGTTTCTTTATTAGGCAAGACTGTGATCCATCCATGGAAGCACTGCACAGGCTTCCCCACAGTAAGTAGGGGTGGGTCTGGTGGTGTGCAGGTAAACATAAGACTTCCTTATTTCGGACTTGCTTTGTATACCAGTCAGCCTTGGCCAAGATCGTGGCGAAGTTCACTTCTTCCCCTCCTTGTTGCAAAGAAATGGTGTGAAGTAGAGAGGTGAGATAATAACAAAGATTAACTTGGCCAACAGTGATAATATTTTATGGTATTGGTACACTATTCCTGTTAATGTTGACTTCTCGTTGTACTGCACCCCGAATGTGATGAAAATTAAATGGGGGTGCAGGTTGCAAATGATAAATGCCACTATACATTCTGGCTATTCAACTTTTTCACTTCCTGATGATGGAATTCATATTTATCATCATTTTTAGATTTAGGAGCCACTGTATATCTGTTGTACTTAAACATTTTAGTGGAAAACCACAAACCTGAAAGACCTGGCTGCATAAACTTTGTAATCAATACTTGCTTCCATAATAATTCAGTTACGATTTTTAATTTCAGCATCCTCAACATCAAGCTCCTCAGACTCTTCACTTGGGCAACCCTCAACAGCAACAAGCAATTTATCACACAACTCTTACACCAACTCCTCCCTCTATGACACAAGGTCCTAGTCCACAGTCTCCTCAGACTAGCTTTCCATCAGCACAGCAGACAGTCTACACACTTCACCCTCAGCAGGTGCAGCATGGATATTCAAATCCGCCACATATGACACATGTACCACAGGTAAGTGAGCATCCCAAAGGTCTTTAGGGCTAACGTTTATATATAAACTTTGTGGCAACGCAGAATTCCTTTTTGTATTATTTGAGGTTTCTTTTACATAAAGAAACCATTAACTACTTGTTTAATAGTATTTTTAAGAGTTCACATTTGAGAAGCAGTTGTATCATAAATGTCTCCTGATCAGCTATTGAAAAATCAATTTGTGCTTCAGTGACTCCATCTTGGTGAATGTGCAGTTTTTGGTGGAAAAACACTGGTTGATACTTTTTCTACAAGAATATTTCTGACATTGCTAAGTTGAATAAAATATTTATAATACATTTTAAAATTTGTGCCACAGAAAATATTTGGGGTAGTTGATATTTTTGGTTTATTTACTTAATTTACTTTTTTAAGAAGTCTAATTCTTTGGACTAGTTCACTATCATCTTGATGGTTCCTAATTATGAAACTTAAGATATCTCATCTTTCTCTGCAACACTCTTTGCTTTTTGGAAGTTGGGTAGGATTTTGTGTGAATCTGATTTGGTGCTACTCTCAACTGCCTTAGATTTATGTGGGCAGTGGGCAATAGTACCCCAAAGCACTGTATCATGCAATGATATTTTTGTTGCTGTAGTATTCAATCTTACATGAGATCTACTTCCAAATTGGAATGATAATTCATGTCCATCAGCTTGTGTGCTAGTGAACAGCAGCAGCTTTATTGTCGTCTGATCTTGATATGAATGTGGGCAAATATCAATAAGTGAGCTGCACACTCTGGGACAGCCACCAATTCACTAAAGTAGCATAAAGATGGCAATTGCAACAATCTGAAGTATGATCAACAGTGTATAATTTAATGGGCTAAAAGGCTGGCTTGTGCTGCAGAGTGAGGCCAGCAATGTTGGTTCAATTCCCACACGGACTGAGGGACTCTCCTCCTCAATCTCTCCCCTTGCCTGAGGCATGGTGACCCTCATGTTAAATCACCATCTTTCATCTCTTTCTAATTGGAGAGTAGCCCTATGGTTCGGTAGGACAATAGTGATTTTACCTTTTACTATAATTTTTGGAATTTGAATTTCAAGATAGAGGCAAATTTGAGTCGGTTACTTATTTCATTTTAAATAAAAACAAGGTCAGTGTGTCCTGGAATTGTGACAGCATTCAGCAATTGTCAGAATGCAGCTGTCCACAGATCCCTGGGATATGAATGAGGAGAAGTTTATCTTGTGGATTTTCTGACAGTGTAAACATCTAGGAGCATCAAAAAAAACGTCTAGCAAGCCAGGTTTCACTCTGGATCTGACTTGTTCAGTAGTACCACCATTTGACTCACCCCAGAGTTCTAAAGGAGATAGCTGAAGAGATAGTTGGTGGTGATCTTGCAGGAAAGGGAGGGTCCCAGAGGACTGGAAAATCGCTAACGTGACACCCCTGTTTAAAAAGGAAGTAAGGCAAAAGATGGAAAATTACAGGCCAATTAGCCTATCCTCTGTCATGGGTAAGATTTTGGAGTCCATTGTAAAAGATGAGATTTCTGAATATTTGGAAGTGTATGGTAAAATAGGGCAACATCAGGAAGTAACGAGTAGGGTAGACCAAGGAGAGTCAATGGATGTTATCTACCTGGACTTCAAGAAGGCCTTTGACAAGGTGCCGCACAGGAGGCTAAATTTGCAGACAATACAAAGATAGGTGGTGGGGCAGGTAGTATTGAGGAGGTGCGGAGGCTACAGAAGGATTTGGACAGGTTAGAGAGTGGGCAAAGACATGGCAGATGGAGTACAATGTGGGAAAGTGAGAGGTCATGCACTTTGGTAAGAAGAATAAAAGCATGGACTATTTTCTAAATGGGGAGAAAATTCAGAAGTCTGAAGTGCAAAGAGACTTGGGAGTTCTAGTCCAGGATTCTGTCAAGGTAAACTTGCAGGTTGAGTCAGTAGTCAGGAAGGCAAATGCAATGTTGGCATTTATTTTGAGAGGACTAGAGTATAAAAGCAGGGATGTACTACTGAAGCTTTATAAGGCTCAGGTCAGGCCACATTTGGAGTATTGTGTGCAGTTTTGGGCCCTATATCTCAGGAAGGATGTACTGGCCCTGGAGCGGGTTCAGAGGAGGTTCACGAGAATGGTCCCAGGAGTGGAAAGCTTAAAACATATGAGGAACGTTTGAGGACTCTTGGACTATACTCATTGGAGTTTAGAAGGATGAGGGGGGATTTAATTGAAACTTACAGAATACTGAATGTCCTGGACAGAGTGAATGTTGGGAAGATGCTTCCATTGGTAGGAGAGACTAGGACCCGAGGGCACAGCCATAAAGTAAAGGGAAGACCCTTAAGAATGGTGATAAGGAGAAACCTCTTCAGCCAGAGATTGGACTGCCACAGAAGGCTATGGAGATCAGGCCATTGAGTACATTTAAGACTGAGATAGGTAGATAGGTTCTTGATTATCGAGGGTTACTGCAGGAAAGCGGGAGAAAGGGGTTGAGGAACTTATCAGCCATGATTGAATGGTGGAGCAGACTCGATGGGCCAAATGGCATAATTTCTGCTCCTATGTCTTATGGTCTTTAAAAGGAATATTTTAAATTTTCTTGGCATCAACTACGGCAGTGCTTTTAACATAGCACACTCAATTAGTGCAACCAGTAAAGTTTTTGGCACGGTTTTGGAAATTACTTGTATAAGCTGCTGTCAGTTACCATTACTTATTTAGTAGAAATAATGACCTTTTGGCTGCTTTATTTGTTTGTAGGCACATGTACAGTCTGGAATGGGCCCTCCCCACCACCCTGCTGCTACCCATCCTCCCATGATGCTAATGCCTGCACAGCCACCAGGTGGTCAAGGTGCCATTCCTCAGAATGCACTGCCACCCATTCCAGTTTCCTCAACTACACACTTCTCTTACATGGCACACCCCCAAGGTGAGTAATAGACAATCAGGGGGGAGATGATCAGCATTTCATTCAAGTGAAAAGTTTGATTTACATTTTCTATACCCTTGGCCTGAAAGTAAATTGATCCTGTGGAATTTGGTACATCTCACTGCATTTGTTATTTCTACGACTGATGCAAAGACTAATTCTTTTAAAAATAAAACTGCAATTTAACTGCGCAGTTTGAAAATATTTTTCTCAGATTTCAGCAGCTGTGTTTATGGAGTAAAGTTGGAACGTTAAACTGAGTTTTTTTTTTTGTTTATTCTCCCTTTAGTACAAGCCCATCATCAGCAGCAGTTGTAGTCCTGTCCAGCAGTAACCACAGGCTGGCCAGTTGAAGCTACACATCCTTCCCTACCCTAAAACCTGGAACCAGAAGCACAGAATACTAGAAATTGTCTTCTCATGCTAAACCATGTGCTGTCACACAACATCCAGCAGGAACGTGTTGCCGTGTGATTCGGTAGCTGCCCTTGTGAAGAAGGCAAGATAAACTGGCAAGAAAGAAATAAGAGCCAAGTTCAAATCTGGAATCAGTGTGTCTTATCAACAGCCTTACAAAATGCCCCAAATCTGCTTTCTGATAACTGGAATGTATTTATTTTGCCTGACCCTTCTAAGTTATGAACTTCCCATGGTGAAAGAACTAATAAAATTGTTTGTTCCTGCTGCAAGCCATCCAGATTTGGCAAACCAGAACTCTCTGCTTCTAACCAAACTTGAACTCTATCTTATAACAAAATCCGGATGTGAACTGGTGGTTTATTTATGAATAGAGGTTCCTGGAGGAGAGCACTGTCACCAGACAGTGATGTAACTTTTAAGTTAAATAACTTTTACTTTGTAGATAATAAAAAAAAAATTTAAAAAACCAAAAAAAATAAAGTTTTAAAAACTGACATTGGTGTGATTGTAATATTTTTGCCCCCATACCTTTAATGGTCAGGAAAATTGACCAGAAGATGAGGTCATAATTATGGAATGAGTGAAGAATGTTCTGACTATTTGAGCCCTTTTTTTTTTCTCAAATCATGCTGTGTTCCTGTATCTCCTTAACAAACATAGGAACATCATGACATCAAAATACAATATTTGAAACACTCTATATTTGTGGATGAAGATCATATTGTGGTGGGGTAGAAAATGAGCTTCAAGTGACCAAATGGAATTTTTTGTTATTTTGAACATCATGCAGGAATATCTGTAACCAAAAGTAATATGTTCTTGAAAGAACAATGATGTTTCCCTTTGACTCCAATGGGTAATCCTGGAATTTTTTACTAAATTGTAAATCTTAATATTAAAATCAATGCATGAAATCCTGGCCTGTGATAAACCAGTGGTTCTCAAACATTATTGGTTGAAGGAGCCCTTTACAAATGGGAAATTCCTTGCATTTTTAAATATAATGATCATTGGTGTTCTTTTTTTAAAGGGATTTGCATATAATTTGGCAGAGAGTGGTCGTAAACTTATCTTTTTTCAGTGAAAAGCTAAACATATAGCTTTAGCTATGTGAACTTCTTTTGGACAAATCTCTGAAATGGATTGGGCTTGGTGGATCCTGTAGCTAACAGTGAGACAAGGTGAGGTGTAAACTTTGCAACAATGCAATCTTGGAAGTAACTGATCACATTAAGATTCTGGCCATTACCACAGGGGTTCTCCAGGGCATTGGCCTAGGCCTAGGCCCAGGCAGCTTCAACTGTTTGTTCATTGCCCCTCTTTCCCCAGCATGAGGTTAGATATGGGGTCATGTCTACTAATGATTGAATAGTATCTGTCCTGTTAAAATGCTGATACTTGGGTTGAAAAACGGTCGTGAGGATGCTCCACACATGCCACGTACTGACTATCTTCAACAATATAACATCTAAGCATCTTCTGTTGATGTTCAATTGCTAAATTCCCCACTGCCAAAATCCTGAATTACCATTGCCAAGAAATTTAACTAAACCAGCATATAAATCTGTGGCTATAAGTAGCAGAGGCTGGATATTCTGTAGTGACTAATTCACCTATTTACCTAAAACCGGTGTGCTAATGATCACAGAATAGAAAGAGGCCACTTGGTCCGCTGCGTCTGCACTGACCCTCTGAAGAGCATCCCACCCAGAGCCATGCCATCCCTGTGACCACACATTTACCATGGCTACAGCACCTAGCCTGCATATCTTCAGACTGTGGGAGGAAACTGGAATATCTGACAGAAACCCATCCAGACGTGGGGACAACAGGAAAACTTTACACGGTCACCCAAACCTACAATTGAACCTGGGTCCTGGGTGCTGTGAGGCAGCGGTGCTGTGAGGCAGCAGTGCTAACTGCTGTGTCACCTAATCACCTAAAGCACTTGAGCCAGGCAGGAGTTGAACATACAGCAGTAAGTGTTTTATGCCATAGACAAGTGACTCACCATGGTTGCATTGATAGCATCACCCAAAGTCTACTTAGAAGGCCAAGGATAATAGACATGCAGATGGAAATTGGAAGTTGGTGGTGCCAAGTCATGCCATTCTCAGTTGGCAATATTACCATTGCTTCACTGCCACTTGTTTAAAATTCTGAACAAGTGTACCTCTGCCATAGTACTGCAGAGGGTGCTGGATGCCATTAGAAAGGTAAGGAAGTGAGTGGACAATAAGCTAGCAATGCCACCAAGAAATTTTTAAAAATTGAATAATGGTAAAGATATTCCCAGTGCTTTGGCTACTACAGCTGAGTGTCTACATCTCCAAATGCAAATTAATTCAATCCTTTTACATTATGTAGAAGCTAATTCCAAGGATGCTACCAAGTACAGCAGATCAGGCTTCAAAAGTACAAGCTGAGCACTGATTTTGCTAATACTGAATGGGCCGCTGAGAAAGCATTTCTATACTACCATTGTCCCATGTAAAATTAATCTTCAGACCTGGAAAAGCCTGGATCACACATCTTCATAGTGTAATTCCCCTAGTTTTGAACAGCTTAAGTTTTAAATTGTATACAGTATTCAAATAATAGTATTTGAATGGCTAATGATTTGAATATTTAAAATTAATTAGGGGATTCCATTTTGATGTTTTTTATGGTCATAATTTTCATTTTATTTGTTCATGCAATGTAAGCATTGCCAGCAAAACCACATTTCTCATCCCTAAGGCAGCTTATCAAGAAGGCCTGATTGTCCATGGTAAATTACAAGATTTAACTAAAGATTTATAATTTCAATGAATTTATTGTTTAACTATTAAAATTCTCTCAAACTTCCTTTCTCTATGCACTCTAACATTTAAAAATTATTACATATTTTCGTTACTGAATTTCAAAGCCACACTTCTATCCACAGGAAACCAAAGCTACAGTGCCATTGTAATTCAATTTAAAAAGCTAATTTTGTGCAATGGTTGGAAATGTAGACGATCAGCAGGAGCTCCAGAAATAAAGGCATATTTCATATAAATGCAAGACAAATTTACAAAAAGAAATAGTGTTCTATTAGCCTATTATCAAAGTCATTGCTATGCAGAGTTCAATGCAAAAGTACGTTTGCCAAAAGTTACTTATTGAAGATAAGCAAAGTAAATAAACTAATAAAACTGCTTGGTGCCTGCAAACTTGCTGAAACTTGCTTCTTTCTAACAGAGTCATGTTTTGCCATTGACGTATGCCTTGTCAATATAAAGTAGCTCATCATCACCAGTGTAGCCAAATGAGAGCCAATGACTGTATGATATATTGGAGGGACTAATTTCCCTGGAACAATACGCCAAGGAGTTACTACATTGCTGAGAATATTAGCAAAATTTTTTTTTAAAATCATCTTAACTGGCCAAAGATTAAATTGTCAATTTGTGAACTGTAAATCTCACATTGCTGGGAAGTTTGAGAAATTCTGCTGTTAGCTTCACAAAAACAATATCTCACTTTTAACTTTCACATGATTTTCATGAAATTGATGTATTTTCACTTTAAGTAGTCATGAAACACACTACATAAGTAATTAGTAGGATAATTACATTTTTTGTTGTGGAAATTGTTAAAAAGAGCTAATTGACCTCTTGATCTGCAGAGTGTGGTGTCATTCCTCCAGGCAGTGACTGAACTGTCATGGAAATTTATATAAATTATGAAACAAATCTTTTCCTTTATTCTCAACCCCATGAGCTACTTCATATTGCCAAGGCTTACGTCAATGGCAAAACATGATCCTATGAGAAAGACTGGGTAGTGTTGTCGAACAAAGAGACTTCGGGGTTCAGGTACATAGTTCTTTGTAAGTTGCATCACAGGTGAGTTAGGATGTCACATTGTACAGGACATTGGTGAGACCACTTTTTGAGCACTGTGTATGGTTCTGGTCACTCATCCTTCCTATAGCAATTATTACATTGGACAGGATTCAGAAAAGATTTACCAGGATGTTGCCAGGACTAGAGGGGTCGAGTTATATGGAGAGGCTGAATAGGCTGGGATTTCTTTCACTGGAGCATTGGAGTTTGAGGAGTGACCTTGTAGAGGTTTATAAAATCATGAGAGGCACAGGTAAGGTGAATAGCAAGGGTCTTTTCTCCAGGGTGGAGGGAGTTCAAAACTTAGGGGGTATATTTTTAAGGTGAGAGGATAAAGATTTAAAAGGGATCTGAAGGGCAACTTTTTCCACATAGAGTGTGGGCCGTACATGGAATAAACTGCCAGAGGCAGTAGTGGATGCAAGTACAATTACAACATTTAAAAGACATTTGGATAGGTACATGAATAGGAAAGGTTTGGAGGCATATGGGCCAAACACAGGCAAGTGTTTCTAGTTTAGTTTGAGAAATCTGGTCAGCATGGACACATTGGATTGAAACGTCTGTTTCCATGCTGACTCTATAAAATACAGTTTTATGGTTGGTAATGTTTTTAGCTGTTAAACATCCCCGAGTTCTTTCCTATTTTTATCCAGTGGTCTCCAACTACCTGCAAAATTCTATACTGAGCACAGGCAGCCAACATGCATTGTCATATGTCCAAGCAGGACTTTTGACTGACTCAAAAAAACTAATAGCATAATTAAATTTTTACAAAAAAAGCACTAGCTGGAGAAATACACTTATTCTTATTAACTGAATGAACACTCTGCTGATAAGATTAAGCAAGATTGTTGGGTTATGCTGTTTTCCAAATTGTAACATTGTAACTGATGAACTGCTTACACTTTAAAATTTACTAACAGTTTCATATTAATATGGTACTGTAAAAGGTAGATCAAAAGAACATTGTTTTAAAAAGTCAAAAAAATTAGCCATCCAATACACAGTGCATCATTCTGCTGAAGTACAATGGTGTGTAACTTTCTATGTCCCTTTAAGTCTATAAGATGTCATTGCTGTGCCTTTCGGAGGTAATGGTAAGTTAATTGATTTTGGCAGATGGATCATCGGGTACTTAAGACTTAGACCAGTTTTCTTTATTGGATGACCTAGAAATATATATAATTGTCAACAAAGTGATATATATGATAGTTAACCACATATTTCATGTACCACTTAAAGCTTAAGTAACTTTATTGTGCCCTCAAAGTTTACTAGGCAACGCTATGCTAACCAAATGTGATTGGACCATCCTTCCCATGATGATTAGCTCCCATCCTGGTTTTGCACTTTCTCAAGACCTTCACTAGACCACAAACAGCAACTATAAGCAACAGATATAATTTAAGGCAACGGAAAAGATCTAAGATTGGGGCAAATGTAGGGAAATTATAAACAATTTCAAACAGCGATTCCTACATTTAAGGAAACACTTTTCAAGTGCCTGTGTGCAGCTCTTAACAAATGGCCAATGATCTTTCCCAAACAATTATCAGTTCCTCACGGTTTACAAATTCTTAATTAACTTGATTACAAAATGCAAAGACAGTCATTTTTCCGATTGAAAATATTAACTGTTCCTCCCTCCATAGCCAGACTTGTTGAATATTTTTAGCCTCCTCAGTTTTTGTTTCAGCAAGCCAGATTTCCTGTCTGCAACCTATCCTGCATGTAAATCCACCATTTTTCAGATTTCTTCCCTTAGAAAGACTTGTACCTGCATTCTATTTTATAGGCATGATATTCCTGCCTTAATGAAACCTACTAGTAGCAGCAATGCAGGAGATTTGCTCATATAATTCTATCTGAAACTATGTACCTAATCCCATAATGGGAAATTCTCTGCTGCTATCATAATGGAAAATAAGACATCAGGTTGTATCCTGTAATTTTCAAAACAAAAAAAATCACCAAAATTAGATCACCTTAGTGTTCACAATCTAACTTGAGTACTCAATTTACTAAAGTACATAACAACTGTCAGTTAAGCTTTAAATGAAAAGCACAAAGAATGAGTATATCCTAGTTAAAGAAATCTACTTTAACTGAGACTTGTAAACACAGCAAAACAGTTGTAGAATTATTTTTAAACGCAACAAGCCCAATAACTGTATTTTCATTTATCGCATATTACTGTCATTAAGCAATTAAGTTAAAGTATTTCATAGAATAATTTTAGAAAGGTTACAGGAAATACACAGATATATAAAGAAATATGCTTAAAATTATATTCAATTCATATACAATTTTTACATAAGCAAAATTAAACTAAAGGACAATGTATTTTCTATATTTTCAATTAATAATCCAAGATATCTAATTTTTAAAGACAAATTCAAAACAAAGCTATACAACTTAATAATATTGTAAACAGACCCTTCAACAGGCCTAATTGTAGAAGAGGCCCATTTCAGAGCAAACACGTATTTGCCCTGAAGGTTTCTTACGTCTGCCTCCCTGAAACAGAAATACATTCAGTTTTTGAAGCAAACCTGAAAATGTTTCAGTGTTGAAAAACTAATAATGGCACACTTTCACAAGTGTATACCAACTTGTCTTTGGCCACAGAATCAAAGAAACATATACTGATTGTCAATGGCCCGTGAATGACCTCTGGCAGCCGATTCCATTTCATAGTCTGAGTCTCGTTGGTGCCTTATCGGCACAACCACTGAGCCACTTCGCCGCAGAGCCGGAAGAGATTCCTCAGCAGGGGGCACCATGTGGAATACCTGTTCTGGAGCTGGCCGGGAAAGAAGAGGCTCTGATGCATTGCAGCTGGAAGGACCCAAGTGAGCAAGACTGGGTTCAGAATTCCAGCGGTGAACGGAAAATGGCAACACTGACGCATTGATTGGAGAATGAGATCCTTTGGAAACAAAATAAAAATGTGAATCTTAAAACCACTTCTGTCAAACCTTAAACTTAAACTGATTTAACTTTCTGCTGAGTAATTTTGTGGCTACCATGCAAATACAGCAAGTACATCACACTCAAAGCATTTTAGTAATTAGGCAGGCAAATTTCAATCCTGATATTTAACTACCCATCTGCTCCTTAATATTTAATAGTCTCGCCATTCCCTAAAACTGTTTGTTAACGTTTTAACTTGCAATGATCAGTATTTTCTAATAACATTATTCAGACATTTTATGAAGTGTCACAGTCCCAAACATGTGAACCAGATATGCCTTGATCCAGCATTTCACATGCACACAGATGATGAACACAATGAAGAAACAGCTTTCTAAGTTTTTCACAATTTGATTTCAAATACCAGGAACTAATTTCAAATACATATTTCAACAAGTGAATTTTCAATTTCAATCGCAGAAAACATAGACAAGAATGTGATAACAAGGTGTGGAACTGGATGAACACAGCAGGCCAGGCAACATCAGAGAAGCAAGAAACCTGTCGTTTCGGGTTCATTAGATAGTCATAGCCCGCAGGAGAAATGCAGATAAGTAACAATTCCCATGGGTTACATATTACACGGGTGAAAATTGTCAATGAGAATTTTATACTGTTCTTTACAAATAGACTTGCAACGCAAATCTTGTTCAGCAAGTTTCTGATGAGATCATTTCCTCCTGTGGGGAAACCGACTTTATGATAGCGACAATCTGGCAGGAAATGGGGACAAGAAAACTAATAAAATTTATACCAAAACGGTAATTTCCTGGAATCTTACATGTCCTTTGCCCGCAAGTCTGCCTTTATCCGAATCTTCAGTTTCAAGAATTTGTCAGCACAAGTGGAAGCAACAAATTGACAACGGGGAGAAATTAGCGAAGCTCAAAATATGAGGAATCCTACAAAATACTCCAGAAATAAATCAGGATGGTGCTAAACCCAGAATTATTTTATCAATTATAATGCGTTCTGTCAGAAAGATTAGAACAAACTATTTTTCTTCTCATTCTTCATTTCACTTCCAGATTCTCCTTTGAATGAATTTATAGGTCATCTTGTTTTAAATTTGGAGTGCTGCCTTTGTGCTAACAAAATGCTAAATATATTTAATGGGTTTGTTTTTCACACAAATTGTTTCCTCTCTGACCCATTGTTAATTTTTCTCCCTCTTTGATCTGATTCCAACAAACATCATAGAATCAAGGAATATCCTCCAAGAATCCTTAGATTATTGAAAGTGCTGAAGGATTGGAAAACTGCTCACGTAACGAAAAGCAAGATGAAAAGAGGCAACTATAGGCCAGTTATCTTAACATCTGTCATTGGGAAAATGTTATAGTCCAGTAGTAAGGATATGACAGCAGAACATTTAGAAATGTATCATGTAAACGAACAAATTCAGCATGACTTCATGAAAGGAAACCATGCCTTTCGGAGTAACGAACAGGATCGATAAAGCGAAAGCTGTAGATGCAATATTTTTGGATTTCCAATAGCCACTTGACAAAATACCACATGCAAGGCTACTTAATAGGAGCCCATGGTATGCACGGTAGTATAATAACTTGGATAGAAGATCGGCAAACTAATAGAAAGAGAGGTTGGATAAGGGAATGTGTCTTTGTAACTTTGGACAGTTGCAGAGGCTGAGATTCCTCAAACACTAACCTGGGCCCCTATGCCTGTCTTACTGGCAGTCACACACCCTGGAACCTGATCACAGATGAAATCTGAATTTGAATTACTGAATGTGAATGTGCTTGCCCCCTCAAGCAAATGGCCCAGGTAGCTTTCCATCTGCCCGATGTGGCACAATGCCTGTCGCTCCTCAACTCAAATCTGAAGCTCCTCAAGCTGCAAACATTTATGGCAGATGTGTTTGTGTTTGCCTTGGATTACCAGCAGCAACACATCACCCATCCTGCCATCACCATCATATTTTATTTAATTTATTAATTACTCTAGAATTGCTGTCTTTTATTGAAATTATTGCTTTTAAAATAAATACCAGTATCAATCTTATACTTGACAACACCACCACAGTGATGATCTTAGTAGTACTTCTTTGGTTGTAAAACATGTTGAGATGTTGGGTTGTCATGAAAGGCACTACACATAAATGCAAATCTTTCTTAGATTTTTCCCCCAAGAATCGATGGTGGCACTTTCCTTGGACTTCGGCAGACTTTGTAGCAATTGTATTCCTTGAGGTGACCAAAACTATCTTGAAGACATTGCTTGTTTCATTGGCAAATAAATGTACAACTTCCTTCTAACATTTTATATCCCTAACAGAATTGTGGATCTAATTACAGCGCTTAGACTGCAGTGGCTCAAGAAAGTAGCTTCCTCTATCTTCCCAAGGGCAAGTAGGGACAGGCAATAATTGCCGGCCCAGCCATTGACACCCACATGCCACGAGTAAACAAAAACTATTTCTAAGACAGAAGAAAAAGACTGGAGATCTAAACACAAACTAAAAACCTTACTTTTACTTTAAGAACTAGTAATGTTCACCAAACCTATTCACCAAACAGCTGTTTTGCCTGGTTCATAACATCCCCTTTGCAAGGAGGCCTCTCAAACTGCACCTTTTCTTCTCTTCTGCTCACCCCTTGCTCTGAAGATTTTGTTTCTTGCAGTAAACCTTACATCAAGCACCTGTATCACTCTCTGTACTAAACTTCACTTTGAACTAAGTTCCCAAATATACTCATTCAGGCAAAGTCTCCACTCACGCTGACCTTGTGCATACCCTCTAGTTACCAACAGGTCTGTCAGTGCCAGAGGTCAAGAATACCAGACCATGCTGGATTGCAGAAAGATGTCACCACATGGCAATAACGCCATCACAGACTCCCTATCCACAAGCCCACATCCCAATTGGCCTGGAGTGGGGAAAACAAGAGGGATGCTCTCTGCCTGCCCTCAGCACTCACATGATCTTTCACCTTTCAATGCAAGAGCCACAAAGAAGCATTTGGTTGCTGCTGCAGACAGAAAGAATTCAGCACAGGCCCCTGTCACTGCATAAATGAAGAGCACAAAGGCATCCAAGAACACAGAGTGGAAAGACCAGTTAAAGACCAGGTGAATGGCCAGCCTAGTTATCTCCTTACCTTAGCTAATGCCTCATATCCAGGCTAACAGTGAAGGAGCCACAGTTCAGGACAGATGTTAGGAAAAACTTCTACACACAAAGGGTGGAAAATGTTTGGAACTCTCTTCCACAAAAGGTAGTGGATATAGGGGCAGTTGTTAATTTTAAATCTGTGATAGATACATTTTTGTTAGCAAATGGTTTTGAGGGATATGGACCAATGGCAGGTAAATGGAGTTAGGCCACAGATCAGCCACGATCTCACTGAACAGTAAATCAGGTTCCGGGTCTAAATGGTCTACTCTTGTTCCAATGTTGATGCCCTCTGCTCATGATGTTTTATAACTAGCCATCAGGAAGGGTGGAAAGACCCGAGAATGTGCTCCCTAACTGTCTTGCTACCTCTTCTCTGTACAGTTTAATTATAACAAACAGCAGGCTGTCTAAAGAATCGTAGCCCAACTTACCTCAGAAATAAAAACCAGTGGCAAATGAGCCAAATTGGTCAGGCTCATCTTCTATACTTTAGAAAAGAGGTCTAGTACAACCAGCATGTTCAGGCATTACTGGTTCTTTACTAGCTTTTTCCTCTGGTACCACTTTGTAGGTGTAATTCATTACACAAAGATATTTTCTGCACCAAATGAAAGACAAAACTGAACAGAGTCAGGGCACAAAAAAATGACAAATCTGCAGAGATTCCAAGATATAAACATTTAACACACAGCAACAGAATGCCTGTGCTGCACATGAAGTTCTCAAAGAAATTGCTGAGGAGTGTTTGATCCATTCCATGTTCATATGTAGTCAAACAGGTTACAGACTGAAATCTCTGTGCAATTGGTAGAGGACATATGTCTATCAATACAGTCTGTACTGTTAACTATTTATCTCTGAACCTCCACTGCTCATTAGAGAGAACAGCAGTAATAAATAGACGGTCACATTCCTCTGATAATAAAAGTGGTGCTCAAAGCAAGAGATATTGGTGCTGGGGAATTAAACACTTGACCTTTCAGGCATCTGCCATCAGCCTGAGCTCTTCTAGGTAAGGAGCAGCTCCTTTTCCTCTGTCCTAACACTATGATGCCGCTTAAACCCCAAAGGTATGGACAAGTGATTTGCTTTCTCCATTTTTCACATCTCTTGGCTGCATATCTCTCCAAGCAGTATTGGTTAGGGACAAAACTATCCTTTCCCCTGGATAGCTGCAGCCCATTAGTGTCCAATGACTTACCAGATACAGATCACTACTCTATACCAGCTTTAAAGGTGCATACAGCACCAGTATCTGTGCTGGTGGCTACAACTATCAGATCAAATGAGAGGGCCCCTTTACTGAGTCTTGGGGCTGCTGTTGATGAGAGGTGGCAGATTTAGGGTGTGTAAAAGTAGAAGATCAGAAGGGAAAGGTTGGGCTGAGTTAGAAAATAAGAGATCCATGATCCTAGTATCAGCAGTTCATTCCACATGGCATGTAGCAGATTGAGAGATGGGAAAGGGTTTAAGGCAGAGCCATCCTGCATTCCTCAATTCCAAATGCCACAAGCTCTGTCACAGTTCAGTCCATGATACAGAGAGGCATCCTCACTGGAGATAAAGAGTCCTGTGCTGCCCTGCTACTTAGCATTGAATACCACTCTGTCTTGCAAGAGATGGAAGAAGTAAGAGTGGATAATCTGCCAGAAGTGGAAGCAACAAGAACTAGATGTGAGGTTGTGGTGGAGTATCTAGATGTTGATTTGAGCCCCGAGTGGTTGAGTGAATGATGGGGTAAACAGGGGTAAATAGGAAGACTTGTTTACATTCACTGACCTTGACCAACATTGTAAGGTTTGTAGCACTGCTGCTAG